TCTTGGAAAAGTCCACCTCCCTGTGTCTCCATTTCTTCAATGGTAAAATATGGGATGTGGATCGGTTTCAGCTCAGCTAAGATGGTCCTTATTCCAGGAAGCTTTCTCTAGAGGACACTTTTGCTTATTTTCTTGTGGCTAGCATCTGAATCCTTTTTCTTTTTTTGGGAATCCTGAACATTAAGAAATGACTCTTCCTCCTTTTATAAAAGTCAACAAAGCCAGAACTTGCTTTCTCAGCCCTTCTTGCAGCTTGGATGTGGTCATGTGACCCAGGCTTTGGCAATCAGGCGTTTATGTTCTTCAAGGCAGCAATGTAAAGACTCAGGGTTACACTAGCCAGAATCAGATTTATTGCTTGTGTTTAATGACATTGACTGATACACCTTCCTTGACCTTGATACACCTTCCTTGAGTTGCCAGATTGGTGGCTTTCTGTGTGTTTCATCTGCACCACTTTCTCTGTCGCCACCACCATTGTTGTCATAGCTAACACGTGTTGAGTTCTTACTGTGAACTGGATGCTTTACACACACTGTCTCCTCGATTCCTATTGGTATACCCATTTTACAGATGAGAAAGACGGAAGTGAAGACATCTCCCAAGGTCATGCAGCTAGTGAGAGCATAATTAAGATATGAACTTTCTCAACCTGACACTAGAAACTTCTCTCTTAACCACCATGCTATAGGACTGCCATTGAACCCTTCTGCACGATCCTGGAGGATAGGGTCTAGGTGTCTCTGTTTTTTTACCTCTGGCATCTCTCACATGGCCTGGCACATGGTCGGTACTCAATGAATACTTGAGCTCAGGTAGATGACAAGGTCTCACCTGGCTCAAACATTCTATGAACATCCAGGAGCTGCCCACCCATCTCCCACCCACCAAACTGTACCCCTCCCTCCCTTAGCTCCTTTCTCCCAGTTGCTACCTCCGGGATTTGTTTTCTAATCAATATGAATCATTCTCCCTGTCTCATAGAGCTGCTGTCAGGACAAACTAAGATTAACATGTGAATCACTTAGCACAATGCCTGGCATACAGTAAGTACAAAATAAACGTTTCTTTTAAATTTAGTTTTTTTTGGCTTGTATATGCACAGAGTATCTCAGGAAGATATACAAGCTACTGGGCATGGCGAGACTGCCTCCTAGATGGGAGTAGGGTCTGAGGTTTGGAGGGGGAAGAAAGGTTATTTAGTATATGTCCTTCTACACTGTTAGAATTTATACTCTATGCATACATTCCTTTTCCACAAAAGGGGCAAAAACTATTATGAATAGTGCAAAAAACCTTTGTCTACATATTTACCATATTATTTTCACCAGCCCTCCTTGTCTCTGTTTTGCAGGAGATTAGAAAATTCCCTTCTGTCCTTAAATTTACACTCCAGAGGGTCAGCAAACTATGGCCCATGGCCCACATCTGGCCTGCAGTCTATTTCCTCTAATCTAAGAATGGCTTTTATATTTTTAAAGAATTAACATATGTAAAAAGAATATGCAACAGATATTTACTATCTGCCCCTTTACAGAAAAAGCTCCCCCAGGGCACATGTGGTTTTAAAAACTCTCATGATACCCACTCAGACGGCTTGGTCAGAGCAGTGGGACGGTGGATCCTGCTCACCTGGGACAGGCTTGGCACATGGTAGGTGCTCACCTATGGTTCTGATGAAGATGCTCACAGCAAAACTACTTCTCCCTGTGGCTCTTCTTTGAGTCCGGGAGCTGGCAGGTGATGTATCGTCTCTCTCTAGTGCCCAGTCTGTTTTAGTAGAAAAGATCTTCCCTAGTTTGAATAAATACTCCTTGCTGAAGCGGGGTAGGTCTTGTTGCTGCTGTTAATGCCTGCCGCTTTTTGGGCAGAGAAGGTTGTATTTTGCCAGCGAGCATGATGGGAGCGTAATACTAAGATACACCACTAGATGGAGCTACAGCTCTGAGAAATAGGCTCGGAAGGAGGCAAGCGGGAGGGCGGAGTAAGTCTTGTGATTTCAGCATCTTCCCGGCCCAAGGCAGACGCCATCTAGATTTGGCTCTGCCACCTGCTGGCTTTGTGGTTGCTGGCAGATGACCTTAAGTTTCAGTATCTTTACTTATAAAATGGGAATTATAACAACACCCACCTCAGAGGGATGCTGTGAGCATCGAATAAGATAATACTGGAGTGCTGTTTTATTTGCAAACTGTGGAGTGCAGTGCAAATGTAAGTTAATACAATGCCAGGAAGCCCCAGCATTAGAGCTTTCCTTGAGCATGATTCCAAAAGTCAGATAACTTTTGCGACCTCCTTGTCTTATATAGTGAGGGGGGGTGGTCAGAGGGCAGCAGTGGGGGAAAGGAGGAAATTCAGAGTCAGCTGGACATGAGAGCACAACCTTGTGGAGGCTCCATTGCATCATCTGGAAAGCAGGTGAGCCCTGCCTTGCAGGATCATCAGGATGACATGAGGTACACAACATATGTCAAGCATTTTTTGCAGTGTCTGGAACAAAGCAGTCCCTCTGTCAGCGCTGGATTGTGAGTGGGCTGCTTGATGCCTTTTGAGATTCTGTCCTCAAACCCCTCTCTCTCCTCTCCTTGTCTAGCCTCTCTTCCCGCTTCCTACTTTAACCATGGTGGCCCCTGGGATGTTGATGTCACGTTTCTGTCTCCAGTGCAGCCCTCTCCCCTGTGGATCCTCCATCCACGGCGCACAGGCATCTTCCACTCGATATGCTCAAAACACAGCTCCTTACCTTCTCCTTCTGAACTTTCTTTTCTTCCTCTCCTCCTGGTACATTAAAGGCACCATTATCCACCAAGAGATCCAAGCTGGAAAACTGAATGTGATTCCTGGCACTCCTGCCTTTTGCGCCTGCTTGTAACCCGCCATTCTTAGATTGGAGGTCATCAAGTTCGGCTGATTCTACCTTTTAAATATCCTTTCAATGTCTGCCCATCTCCACTGCCATTGCTCTCCCCACAATCACTGACGCAGCCTTATCTTAGCTCCTTGCTGCTTGCTTTGCGTTCACACAGTAGCTATTTCTTTTTTCTGAGTGCAAATCTGATTCTTCACCTGCTCAAAATCCTTCCATGGCTCCCTATTGCCAGTAAGTTGGTCTAAATCTCATAACATGGCCTAGAAGGCATCTACAAATCTGCTTCTACCTCCCTCCTCCCTTTCCCTGGCCTGCACTGCCAATTTGATTCTTATAGTCCAGCCAGATTCATGTTATTTTAGTTCCTCGCTAAAATGACATCGTTTCTTTTTGCCTCTGGGCCTTTGCACGTGCTTTTCTCTACCCAGAACATTCTCTCTGCTCTCCTCACCTACTTATCCTTCTCTCCCTGGCTCCTATTCAACTTGCAGATATTATCACCCTCTCTAGAAAGCCTGTCCTGATATATCAGGTAGGAGTTTGTGCCTCCCTCGCCCTATGTCCCCTGGGATGTCCTTGTACTTTCTTTAGTTTGTCACCATTGCACTGATCCTCTAGTGTAATTAAATGCCAGCTGTGCTGGTCACCTGACAATTGAGATATGTATGAGTCATATATTAATTTGGCAGAGTCCCCATCCTGTGTCTAGTGGGAAGCCAAAATGTGCATTCGAGATTTCTATAAATCTAGGGAGCTCATGTAATAGTAGTCTATTTCTGACTTTCTGCTCCTACTAAACTATTTCATTCAGCTCTGAGTCCCTAAAGCCCTTTCTTTGCCCCCAAGCAGGCCCCGATGTAGAACATAGCCTCTTTTTCTTGTTTCCTCAAAACATCACTCACAGAGGACACTGGGTGTGTGTGACAGAAATTACTGAAAGTCTAAGGTGATGAAGTGGAAGGGGTTGGTTTTCCTCAAGTTCTTAGAGAGCCTTTGGCTGGCCCCACCCTGGGAACTTTTCTCTGGTTGGTTTTCTCCAAAGCTCCTGCCTCCCTCTCGTATTACTCAGGCTGCTTTTCCTTCTTCTTCTTCTTCTCTTTTGGCATTCCTCCTTTCTTCTCTGCTACTGCCACCCAAATTTCTGTTTAACACAGAGATGTTTAGAGTCTCTTTTTTTTGCAGACTCTTACAGACTGTGTCTCACCTTTACACCCCAATGTCTTGTCAAGGCATCATGCTAAACAAATGGTATAAATGTGGAGAGATGTGTGATGTTGGGCAGTCCCTCCACCCTCCCCATCACCTTTTGCTGACCTGTCTGTCTCCATGTAAACTCCACGAGTGCAGGGGCCTTGACTGCTCTGGTCATCGCTGTATCCTCAGAACCTAGAACTTGGTTGATGCATATTGGACTCTCAATAAATATTCATTGAATGAGTGAATAAGTGACTGAATAGGTGAACAGATGCGTGAGATATTGCTTAGACTGAAAAATAGTGTTAATTCAACTCCCCTCTCCCCTTTCTGGATTATCATGGAGAGATGTTGAGGCTCAGCCCATATGAGTGTTCTGATAATCCAGGCATAACAGAAAATCAACTCCAGTTGTTTAATTGTTAATTCAACTCAGCAATCAAGCTTGCTTATGCAACCATGACCACCAGAAAGTATATGAGGACTCTTGAAGCTGAGATTTTCTTGCACATCATTGGCCATGTTGGGAAACTGCCCTATCTATCCATCCATCCATCCAACCATCCATCCATCCATCTATCCAACCATCTATCCATCCACCCATCCATCCGTCCATCCATCCATCCATCCATCCATCCATCCATCCATCCATCTATCTATCCATCCATCCAACCAACCATCTATCTATCTAACCATCCTTCCATGGCAATATATATAAAATTGAGAAACACACTCTAGCTCCATTGGTGTGAAATGGAGATAGCATCAGTACCTAATTAACCAAGTTATTGTGAGATTTAAATGATATTATCAGGCAATAATACCACCCAGCACTGGGCTCATTGCCTAACAAAAGCTTAATAAATGGTGACTGTTATTATTAGGATATGAATACCATGCCCAAATTGCACATCTACAACTCTTTCCCAGCCAGACATCAAACGTTCAGTTCAATTTTATTATCCAGAACTTGGGGAAGAGGAATAGGGTGAAGGAATCTGGAGAGGAAGTAGGTAGAGTCAGGCTGGACCAATGAGGAAGAGAGACTGGGAGGTTGGGGCTGGGGTGTGAGGGTGAGGGGAGTTTCCATTTGGGAGTATCTCCCTCTAGATTGTTGCCAGAAGTCAGTCTCCAGATGGATCTACTATATCATAGTGAGTATCCATGAGAGTAGGCAGGAAGCAGAAACAGAGGCAGGAGGCAGAAACACAGTGTAGACTAGCTCTCCTCCACTGGCGTAGCCGATCGACTCAGGCCTAGACTACACCTGGGCACTGTGGGGCCGGATGGGGATGTTGATCCGGTTCTGCAGCCAGTTGATATAATCCTCTTGGGGCATATGGATGATGTGTTCTCGCACAAACTGCAGGGCAAATACAGTGGCAGCCTCAGATTTGATCTGCAAGCTGGACTCCATGCCTCACCCGCTCCGAAGATCCCAGAAGACTGGTGATTGAGGCTCATGGCTCCAGGATGCCCCCAACCACTCAGGCATTCATAATGCAAGGAGCATCATGCTGGAGTGGTTCTCTCAAGAAAGAGACCCCTTTCTAGCTTCCTGGTTCACCAGGCTAATTTTAAGCCCCTTCTTGTCGCTATTGACCCAAATAAATGTGGAGAGAACAAGAGAACCCAGCTGTCTGCATTTTCCTTTCTTTTCTACTCCTTAATATCTTTTAAAAAAGTAATTTGTCTTTAAACATTTTTGGTTCATAGACCCCTTTGAGAATTGATGACAACTATGGGCTTGCTTCCAGGAAAGGGTGAAGATACAAGATGTAGTTTCATATAGGATCTAGATTAAGAGACCCTCACATCCAGGTTATCAGAAGTTTTGTGACGTTCTCACTGGGAGAGGATCATGCCAAGATTTACTAACCAGGGCCATGAACTCACTTCAGAGAATGGGGGATCCTCCTTACCTCTGTCCTCTTACCCACTCAGAGATTGCTTCTTCTATGTTCCCATAACTGGCAGGTGGAAAGTAGACCCCATAACTGGCACGGAGGGGTGGACAGTTGCTTTAGAGTTAGTTTTGGACTAGCCTACCAGAGTCTTTTCTGAAAGAGTCTCATGAGATGCAGGGAGTGGAGACTGAACATATGAATTTGTCTACAAGGTCACCTCCCTTCCCCCACTCCTGACCTTGCACCCGTCTATACACACTCCAGTCAACCTGTGGAAGAGCCTGGCATGAAACATCAAGAGGCCTGAGAATTCCACCATTTGAGTCACTTCTTTATCTTGAGGCATTGAAAGCCCTATTGAAATGTACAAGTGCTATCTGATAAAGTTAAGGAAGTGACTCTATTAACATTTTTTAACTCCTTAGTGTGAAAGGCTTTCCCCCTCCCTCCCATATGTTGATAAAGATGCTCCAGGAACTTCTAGAGTTCTAGAAAGTTCTAGGAAGTTCTAGAGTGGATGGTGATGGTAAACCACTATTGAAAACCATTCAGTGACTCCTCAGCACCCTTGAGATGAAGACCTAAATCCTTAACTTGACCTTCAAAGGTCTGCACAAACTGACCCCTCAGTGCCCTTGGAAGCATGCATCTCCTTGCTTCCTTCCTTCCAAACACCTAGGCTGCAAATGAGTTCTTCCAATAAGTCAACTTGTCTCTTGCTCTGGGGCCTTTGCACATGCTCTTCTCTCTCCTGACCTGCTCTTTCCTCTTTTCTTTGTGGTGCTATCTTTTCATCATTCAGGTCTCAGCTTAAAAGTCACCTTGCCCAGTTGCCCTAGTTAAGATAAGTCCCCTCTACATTTACCTTAAATCAGTTCTCCTCAAACTTTATCTTGCATAGAAATCACCTGGGACCTCATTTAAATGTAGATTCTGCATTGGTAGCTATGGTTTGGAGCATTTCTAACAAGCACACAGGTGAGGTCCAGGCCGATGCCCCATGGCCCACAGTTTTGGTAGCCAGATATAGAGTGCTCCTTTTTATGATTACCAGCTATTTTATTCATGTGCCCATTTATTTATGGCTCTCTGAAGCCCCTGAGTTTCCAGAAGGCAGAATTTACAAAGAATACAATATCTCCTGGAGTTGAATGGCCAAGGTCATGTGACAATCCCCCCCATTAGATGATTAGCACCATAAAGGCAGAGACTTTGTGTGTTTTGAATTGTGGCCCCAGCACTTAAACAGGGCCTGGATGTTGACAGATGATGGAACGAGGGCACCCTAGGCATCGTGTGGGGAAGGACGTGGTAGTTACCTCAATGGCCACAGCAATGTCTGGAGAGCACAGTTCCCAGATTCTCAGATCCTGCAGCACCTTCAGGAGGACGTGGGGCCGGATCCTCAGGTCCAGGTTTTCCCCAAACTTCTGTAGTTTTGCCAGGATCTTTTTGGCGGGGCGGAAATTCTTCAGATCCTCGGGGAGTTTGGACAGCAGATCAAAGTACCTCCAATTTCAAGAAGAGTGGGCCAGTTAGGAAGCAGCTGGGAGATGCGTACGGGCAGCTCAGGCCTCCATCCCCTCTCTGTCTTTCTACCACGCATGTGATGTCTCCAGGACAGTATCCACCTTTATCTGGGGGACTTTTGTCCATTATAAATGTAAAGAGCCCACAGAACATGCAAGTCTTTTATTTTTTAATAATAAAAGCTCCAGTAAAAGCTGGAGCATGATTTACATCTCATTAAAAAAACAAATTAAGGGCATGCTTTAAAGAGATGCATTTACGATTTTTCTATCAAGCAGCTAATGTGAAAAGCTAGAAGAAAGGAAGGCACATTATGATTCTGAAGTTTCTCTTTTGAGAGTTAATCAGACCAGGGAAGGAAGGACATCTGTGGGATACCTTCCAGTGTGCAAGAGGCTCTTACACATAAGATGGAGGAGGAGGAGGAAGAAGTGTGTGTATTTCCCATGTCCCTGACAGTGAGTAAGCTTGGCCCACAGGTTTTGTGTGTCTCAGTGGGTTTTGAGAACCTTTCTGAATGCTGTAACAGAATGTCAGTGTAGTTTGGTAATCCATTCTTGAGATGGTGGGAACGAGATAGATTCTCACCTGGAGATGGTTCAGGTGTGATCAGGGATTAAGGCAAGAGACAGCATCTCTTTAAAAAAAAAAAGGTGAATTTCCCCCCTAATATATATGTACCCATTGTGGAAAAATTTGAAGGAGAAATTGATTATCCACCATACATCTTGGACTACTCATGCTGCTTTATCTTTTATATTTTGTGATGTATATTCATGTCTCCTCATAAGCTCCCATTCCACCTTATTAAAATCATGGAAGAGATTTTGGGTACATTTTCAGACTTCCTCCTCTTCCTCTTAGATCTTGATTTACTCTCCCTCCCAGGATGGAGTTCGTGAAATCACAGTTCATCAGACTCAGTTCTGTATTGCAGATGAATGTAGAGTCTGGGGTCAGACCAGGATTTAAATCCTAACATTACCTTGTTTGTAAAGTAGGGATTAATATGTATCCTTCAGGATTTTTGTGGGGGAATAAAATAGATAATTTGTGAAAATTTCTTAGGGTGGTGTCTGGCATCCAATAATTACTCAATTCATGCGCCTTTTTGTTGTACTTATTATCATCCCCGTGCTGGGGCACAGTGCTCCTAGGATGTGCCTGCCTGGTTTTGTATCATTAAGGGGTTAAGTTATTTGGGGAATATAGTGATGACGACATAGACCTCAGAATCTGTAAAATTTTCAGGTAAATTTGCCTATTCTGCGTTTCCCATAGGGGCTTGTGAGTTAGTTTTTATTTGCAAGTCTGAATCAAGCAGAAGATAAATATGGAGAACACAGCAGGCTGAATTATCTGTGGTTCAAGAACTGAAGAGTTCTTGCCTGACTGTGCTCCAGATATAGGCTTCCGAGATGCCCTGTCGGCAGCCAAGGACAGTTTTGGAGTGACGTCTCTCTATGTCTTGAAGGATAATGGGATCAAATGTGATTTTGTGACAACAGCCCTCCCTTCACCCGCTTCAAGAACCATCTTATCTGGCTCTCAGGGTCTTTACCAGTGGTCTGCAATTTCTTCTGCGTCTCCTTTTACCACGGGGACTTGATGTCTCATTTTTGCTATATCCTTTTGAAAATTTGAGACAAGGCTGAAAGAATGGAACTTCTGGAGACCTCTCTCTTCTTGGCGCCTGCATCACAGGTCATATGAGAAAGAGGAAGAAGAATCAGACCCTCCTCTCCGTTAGCCGTCCTAGCTGCCCTTTGAGATCTGACTTCAACACCTTTTCCTTCTATAACCCCCTCAGCCACTCTTATTTCCAATCTGGCTTTGGCCACAAAAATGACACAGCTCTCTCCAAGGTCCTGAAACGCTCTTTTCTTGCTAAATCCAGGCACGTTTTAAAGATCAGCCCTCATTCTCTCCCTATTTTTGATTGCATTTACACAGCCTTCTCATTTGTAAAATGGAGGATACTAATGGTTCCTAGTCCTTAGAGGTGGGGATTAAATGATATAATGTGTGTAAAGTGCCAAGCTTAGTGCCAGACACACAATAGGTGTTTAACTCGTGTTGGTTCCTCCCTTCCCCACGCCTGTTATCATTTCGTGCATATGTCCTATCTCTCCAAGGAGACTTTATATTATAAATATAGCCATGTCACTCATCTATATATGAATTTCAATGGCTTTTCATTTTACTTATCATATAGTGCTCTGAGTGACTTGCCCTGCAAGGGATCATTCAGCCCCTACAACATTTTCCAGCTTCTTCTCTGTCTTTCCCATCCCTTCTCTCCCAGTATTTTATACTTTGGCTCATGATCAAAGTCTCTGAGATGAAGTTCAACCTCCACAGCTGGGCTAGGAAAGCCTTTTATGATCTGGCCTCTGTCTATCTCTCTGATTACCTTGCAAATAACCTAAGCCCCAGCCACATCTGCCTACTGGCAGTTCCTGGCCCACTGTGTCCCTTCTGGCCTCTGGGACTTTCCTGTTGCTTTTCCCTGGAACTCCCTTCCCTCCTGTTTTTCCTGTGTGATTCTCTGGGTTTGAATTCCACATTTACTACTCAACCACTGGATGACATTTGACAAGAGACATCTCTAGGCCTACTTTTCTTACCTATAAAATGGGTCTGAATAATAGCACCTAACCCATAGGATTGTTGTGAGGGCTAGGTGATAAATGAATACAAAGCTCTTACACCTGTGTCTGGTACATTGTAAATGCCCTGGAAATATCATCTGTTTTTTTTTCTTGAGGAAGATTAGCCCTGAGCTAACTACTGCTAATCCTCCTCTTTTTTGCTGAGGAAGACTGGCCCTAAGCTAACATCCATGCCCATCTTCCTCCACTTTGTATATGGGATGCCTACCACAGCCCAGCTTTTGCCAAGCGGTGCCATGTCCGCACCAGGGATCTGAACCAGTGAACACCGGGCTGCCAAAAAGAGGAACCTGTGAACTTAACCGCTGCACCACTAGGCCGGCCCCTCATCTGTTTTAATTAAACTGAAAATGTAGCTTCCTCCAGGAGGACCTTTCTGATTGCTGTCAGAGGCTAGGCAGGACATCCTTTTTCTGTGTTCCCTTAGGCCCCTTCTTACTCCCATATTGACTTTCAACAACCTGTGTGGTAACTGCCTGTTTACTTGTCTGTCTCCCTCACTAGACTGGGAGCTCCTGAAAGGCAGGGGCATGTCATCCTTGAACCCGTGGCCCGGATCAGCTAGTCCATCCACGCTGAGAGGGAGAGAGGGCACAGGCTCATCATGCAGCCTGTGATGAATGGATGAGTTCACTGGGGTGAATGGTCACTGCAGTGAAGGGGTAGGCTGAGAAGGGAGGCAGTTATTGCGTTGTCAGAATAGAAAAGAACAGCTTCCCATGGCTTGCTGGTGCTCTTAAAATCATGATCCAAGGCTTAATTATGACACTGATGGCTGTGCATGACCCAGCTGTCACCTACCACTTTTCCCTCCTCTTCAAATTTTCCATGTCCCTTCCAGCCTTGGGACTTTGTATGCACCTTTCCTGCTGCCTGGAATGTCCTTCCACCTTCTCACCACACCACCAGCTCCTCCTCATCCTTCAGGGCTCAGCCTTAAAGTCACCTCCTTAGAGAAGTCTTCCTGGATTACCCAACCTAAGTTAGGTCCCCATGATTTCTCTCTCTCTCATAGCACTCTGCTCTCTTCCTGCATAGCAATGATTATAATTTGTAACTATATATTTTATCAATTCACTTATTGTGTGTCTGCCCATATTTTTCAGGAGACTATAAGCTCCCTGAGGGCAGGGAACAAGTCTTTCTTGTTCCCTGCTGTAGCTCCAGTGCCTGGCATCGCGTGGGCGCATAGATGAATGTCTTTGAGTAAATGGATATATGCATGCCCTTACTTCATGAGGATTTCCATCTTGTCCTGCAGACAGAAGCCAGCCTCCTGGGCCACGCTGTAAAACTTGACCCTCATGGCGTTACAAACCCCACTCTTAGAGTGGATGATGTCACGGTTGGTGCGGCTGTAGACACAGATACGAAGGGCTTGGGGGATTGGGGCCAAGGGACAGACCCTTGAGGCTGGCCTCCCTGGGCCCCAAGGGGCTCTGCAGTGGGGACTCCCTGTACCCCCTGAGTTCTCCGTCCTCACCCGTAGCCTCCCTCAGCAATCCCCTGGATGTAGGAAGGACAGATCTCCTTCAACAACATCAGGCTCGTGGTTCAGGCCTTATTAAATGAGCCCACAGGGAGACTTCTGGTCACGAGAGCCCAGCAAATGTTAAAGACAGTGAGATGACGGAATTTGGAGCCGGGAGATTCAGGTTTCAGCTCCAGCACCACCACTTCCTAGCTGTGTGGGTGGGGCAAGACATTTCCTCTGGCCAGATTTCAGTGTGCTTCTCTGTAGAATGGGATGATGCTCCCACCTCATAGGACTGGTTTTGAGGAATAAGCAAGATAATAAATATGGAATGCTTTGCCCAGCGGAGGCACAGAGGAGGAATTTCTTCCCGTTGTCTGTGTTGTTGCTCAGCATCTTGGCCATGAGCCCTCTGCCCTGGGAGTCCCGTGTCCTTCAGCAGTGTCTATGGCTTCAGGGGAGTCTGGTCTGCACTGGGTTATTTCCACACCCCTGGGAAGATGGAGTGTGGCCATCACTGTCCCTCTTGCTCGTCTCCTTCCATTGCCCACGTGGCCTACCTTTTAGACTTCTTTTGGACTGGCTGAATGTGACTCTCTCCACTTGTACTGCTGGATCTGTCACTGAAACACAAAGGGATGGTTTCAAATGCCTGAAGCCTGCTTTTCATTAGAAGGCACCTTTAGGGCCCCCGCTGGCACCTACTAAACTCCGGGATTCAGGTAAGGGAGGAGGTTCTAATCAAGGCACCAGTCACAGAACTCAGTGTGTATTTTTCCCGCCTCTTAGCCTTTGCTCCCACCATACCCTGCCCAGAGAGTCCTCCTTGTTTCTTTTCCACCTACTCAAATCCTCCCCTGTTTAATGGGCACAGCAAGTTCTGCATGCTCTGACTCTTCTAGTCCAACACTGGCCTTTGCGTATTGTTAGGATGACATATTTTCTGGATCTCAGTTTCGTTTGTATAAAATTGGTCTCTCCTTCTGGAGGATAAGTTTATTGTGGACCCTTCCATCCTCCCCTCTACACCCTTCAGCACTTAGTACAGGGCTGGGTATAGATTTGGTGAAGGCATGGTTAAGTCCTTCTAGTCATTGTCTTTGGTGTTCCTGACCCCAGACTTCTTTCAAGGATTCTCTTCTCTAAACTGGATCCTAGAGCTGAACACGCATTTCGCTTGACTTGGGAGGCAGATAGAGCTGGGTTCAGAGCCCAGACCCTCACACCGCCACCTCCCGGTCCCTAGGCAAGCAACTCTACTCTGGATCATGCTTTCTTCATCTGTGATCAATCAGGTCCTCATGCTCTTTGACCCTTTCCAGGTGTGGGCTGGTGTGTTTGGATTCCATCTAGCTGCCTCAACCCCTGCAGATGAATTCTTTTGGAGAGCATGTTTGGCTTTGACCTTCTTCCTATAGATGGCTCTCTTCTTTCCTAGAGCTGACACTGTGACTCAGGGAGGAGGTGGGAGGTGAGGGAAGTAATGTTATTAGCTGTGATAAACAAACAGAAATAAATAACAAAAGCCCCTTTTGATTTTCTCAGTCTTCCCTTCCCTTGGCCCTCCTTGAGTTTCAGCCATGCTGGTCTTTGCTCAGTGCCTCTAAACTTCCTCCTGTCTCAGACCCTTTGCACATGCTATTCCCTCTGCTTGGCGCACTGTTTGTACCTTCCCCAGTCATAGGCTAACTAATTCTTCTTTTTTTCTTCAGGTCTTAGCTTGAATGTTAAACTCAGTTGTGGTAAGGACCCTGGTGCTCAACATACACTAAATCCTCCATCCTTCTCCTTCAGTACACATTCCATAGTCATGATTATATGGCTAACTCTGTGGGATTACCTGACAAATGCATGACTCTCCCACTAGACCAATGATTCTTAACCGTGGGCAAGATTCAAGAAGTCCATGAATGTGGATAGGGAAAAAAGCTTACATCTTTATTTTAACTAACCCTTAAAAGAAATGGAAATCACAGGAATTTGCAGATCACATTACAATTATGGGAGATATTTTGAAAAATCATTCACACTTGACACTAATCCAAAATTATGGTAGTTATTAGACCTGCCGCAGTCTTGTTATATAACACAATGCTAAAGAAGCTCATAGATTACCATATGCTGAATTTGGTTGTGATACTGTAATGTACAGTACTATAGATTTCTTTGTAAATCTTTGTAACTTATAGTAAGCATTTAAAGGCATTTTTCTGAAAGGAGTCCATAGGCTTCCTCAGGCTGTCAAAGGGTCTGCGGCTCACAAAACGTTACGACCCCAGTCCAGACAGTGAGATGGATGAGCGCAGACTGCATTTGTCTTGTTTGCTGCTGAATCCACCCAAACCTAGCACCGTTCCCAGCACATAGTGGGGATGGATGAATGTTCTCTAGATGAGTAAATGAAATGGGGCCAGACCTCCACCTCCCCATCACAAGTCACCCAAGGTAAGAGGGAAGGAGGAGTCCTGGAATACATCCTCGCTACTTCATTCTTTCACTGCTGGCAGATTTTAACTTTATGGTACACAACAGTTGGGGAGAAACACTTGGGTATCACCCCCAGCCCTGGGATCTAAGGGGCTTTCCAATGAAAAAGGGAGAAGTCTCTCACCCTGCCCCACTTTCCATGGTCTGGTAAGGGGGTACCTCTGCCATGGCCCCTATAGCTGTGGTGCCTCCACCTGCTGCGGGCCCCACGCCATCCTACCTTGACTTGTGGGTGGTCTGCATGTCCTTGTAGGCAGAATCGCTCTTGTTTTGTCTGAGCATTGACAAGATGCTGCAAAGCAAGGTGAGCCTCTTAATAAGGCACTGAGCATACGGTGCTCCTGAGGCCATAAGCATCTTTGGGAGGAGGGAGAATTCTCTTTCTGGAGAGGACTCCTTAGACTCTACCGGGCGTAGGAATCATCTGGAGAGATTGCTAAGAACACAGACTCCTGGGCCATACTCTCAGAGACTCGGGATACATTAGGCCTGGAATGGGGCCCTAGAGACTGCTTTGAAAGCCACACACACACACACACACACATGCATGCACACACTTCTGATGCAGGCGTGAAGAGACTACATTTTGAAACCTTAGAATGTCTCAGCATACTGTGAAATAATGCCCACTCGAAGCGCTTGTTAAAAACCCATTTCCTCTGGAAATTCTGATTCCGTTGGTTTGGGAGGAAGACCAGAAATTTGTGTTTTTCATAAGCACCCCAGCTCATTTTGATCCCGAGGGACATTTGGAAAACAGTGCCAAAGGATTTTAAGCAAAGGCTGTCTTTCTTGACGATGCTGTGGTCTGAATGTTTGTGTCCCCCTCAAATTCATGTGCTGGAATCCTAACCCCCAAGCTGACGGTTAGGAGGTGGAGCCTCTGGGAGGTGATTAGATCACAAGGGTGGGGCCCTCATGAATGGGATTAGTGCCCTTATAAAAGGGACCCCAGAGAGCTAGCTTGTCCCTTCCACCATGTGAGGTTATAGTGAGAAGATGACTGTCTATGAGGAAGAGGTCCCTCACGGGACACTGAATCTGCCGGCACCATGATCTCGGACTTCCAGCTTCCAGAACTGTGAGATACAAATGTCTGTTGCTTACAAACCACCCAGTTCCTGGTGTGCTTTTACAGCAGCCCAAATAGGCTAAGACAGATGACTAGAGAGCGGTCCGCCCTTGAGGCTGGGGGCTGGGTGGCTTGGATTCGAAGTGTTCTTAAGAACTCCAGAGTTCTATGTCAGCCCTGATGGGAACAGATTTAACGTCTAAAGTGAAAAGGGAATCCAGACTCTAAAGCAGGGAGGGAAGAAGAAATTCTGCAGCTTCTAACTGTCTCTGCAGCTCCACAGTGAAGCCTTCAATATCCGCTGCCTTAGCGAGGGCTTAGGGAGACTGTTCTCCGGGAGGAATCGACGAGGATGGGAAATTTCAACAGGGTCTTGCGCTGTAACCATGGTAATTTTAAGGCTAAAGTGAATGCAGAGGCCACATGATGAGTTTTGTGAGGACCAGGTTCCCACGTGGTTTTGTCTTTGAGGACCTTATGCAAATCACTCGCTGCCATTTTTCTCCATCTATGAGATGGGGCGACCGTAATGGGTGATGGTTAGTACACCTGTCTCGGCAATGTGCTGCGAAGATGCCGTGGGACACCACGTGTGAAATCAACAACCACCACCACCAGCACTGCCACTTATTGAGTGCTTATGATACGTCAGGCACATGCTAATATGCTAAATGCGTTATCTCACTAAATGCCTAAAGTAACTCATTGAAGGAGACATTATTATCATAACAGTAATAATACTTTACCAGGATAATATAAATTAATTCTCACTACCGCCCTTTGGGATAGGTTAGTAATGAGCCCCATCCTACAGAATCAGAATCAGGCTCAGAGAGGTGAAGAAACTTGCTCGACATCACACAACAATTAAATGACGGGAATGGAGATTGACACTGGTCTACTTGGTTCCAAGGCCAAAGCTTTGCTGATGCACAATCTCATCTTAAAGATGAGAAAGCTGAGGTTTAGAGAAAGGCTAAGTGACTTGTTCAGAGGCACCAGGTTGTGAACCCATGTCAGTCTGACTCCAAAGCCGGGGTTCATGCTGTGAGTTCTTACAAAAGAAGGAGCCTCACGGAGCTCATGCTCCATCATTATTGTCTGTCTCTAATGCTGATAAATCAAACTCACCAGCCAGGGCCTCAAGGGCCAGCATTGTCTCCGAGTGTCTCCAAGCGCCACCCTCTGGAGCCCTGACGCGAGTTGAGGCAGCAGCAGACAAATTCATCATGAAAAAGCAGAGGCGGGTGTGATGCATGTGAGGGTGCCTGGTGAACTGTAATTATGGGAATAACAATAACCAATAAGTCATCGCCGGCATCCCAGTAGGCTGAAGGCTGTGATGAACCTCTTCCAGCGCCTCATTTATTTTCAGGAAGTAATTTGCTTACTTAGAGGGATCTACACCGGGGAAGGGAATTCCAACTCTAGCCTACGTTGCTCTCTGAGGCTGATCAGAAGCTCTGTGGACGAGACTTCCTGCTGGAAGGAAGACACCTCAGGTTCGAGTCTGACACTATGAGCCAACCATGCTTGCCACTGGCTTGAAACGGAAAAGGATTCTTGTTGCTCTTAGGATGGAAAGCAGAATCCTTGGGGTGGCCTCCAAGGTCCGTACAGACTCATGCCTCTCTCCATCCCATTTGGGCTAAATTTCGGTTCCTTGAAGGTGCCATGGTCCCTTTGACCATGTTTGAACTATGGTGCTTATGATGTTTTCCCCTCCCTCTGCCTGCCCCCCAACTTTGGCTGGCTAGCTCTTTCTCATGCTTCACCCAAAATCTCAGTTTAAAGTTTCTTCCTTGGAGGAAACTTCTCCGATCCCCAACCTCAACCCAGACTAGATGGGATACTCCTGTTATTGACTCTCGCAGGCCTGAGCTTTCCTTTCCTAACATTTTCTGCAATAATTAGTACCTAGTCCATGCATATTCATAAATATTCACCAAAAGATTGGGTGATGACCTTAGGATTCCTGGGAAGCACTGTTGCAGAATGGTTAAGAGAATAGTTTTGGGAATTAGAAAGATCTGGATTTGAGTCATGGTGTTACCATTCATTAGCTGGGTGACCTTGAACAAGTTACTTAGCCTTTTTGAGCCTCACTTCCTTATTTGTAAAATAAAGATAACAGTACCTACCTTGTAGGGTTGTTGTAAGGACCCAGGGCGGTGATACCCACAAAGGACCTAGCTCTGTGGTTGTCACAGAGAAAATGTTCAATAATTGGGACCTGCTGTTGTTAACGTTATTGCTGTTATTCTGCCATCTTTTATTTGCCCCAGGAGTCAGGTGAACATACCTGGGCGCTTTTCTTTGCGTCCCATTTTCCATTGCGATCGTTCTCCGGGCATCTTCCCGCACCATCTCCAGGAGCTTCTGCAGATCTGATGGGAACATGAGAGGTCACTGTCTGGAGGACACTCTCAAGACAGGGCTGTGCAAGGCAGGGTCCAGCCCCAGGCTGATGTCGCCTCTGCTTCTGAGTGTTGGGAGGCTGGAGAGGGCTTAGATCGGGGTTTAGGGGACTTTTATTTTCATACTTAATATTCTTGCTTTTTGCATAGTATAGAAATATTTCTTTGTGCCTGACTCTTGGGGGTTGAATTGTGTCCTCCCAAAAGGTATATTGAAGTCCCCATTCCCAATACCTCAGAATCTGAATTGTTCACATTCTGATTTGGAAATAGGGTGACTGCAGACATAATCAGTTAAGTTAAGGCGAGGTCATACTGGAGTAGGGTGGGCCCTTGATCCAGCAGGACTGGTGTCCTTATAAGAAGAGGAGAGAGACCCACAGGAGAGGGTGGCCACGTGATGACAGAGGCGGAGACTGGACTGATGACGCCTCTACAAGCCAAAATGCCAAGGATTGCCGACCACGATGAGAAGCTGGGAGAGACAAGGGAGGGTTCTCCCCTACAGGTTTCCGAGGAAGCACGGCCCTGCTGACACCTTGACTTTGGATTCTAGCCCCTAGAACTGTGAGACAGTAAATTCCTGTTGTTTCAAGCCTGCTGGTCTGTAGTGCTTTGTTATGGCAGCCCCAGGAAACTGATACACTGATGCTCTCAAAAGTCGGAAAATGAAATATAGGTGGAGTAAGCTATGTGTTTCGAGGAAAGAGGGAGAGTGGAAGTCCTAAGTGTTTTAGATGGATACAGATTTGCAAGGACCTGGCACAGTGCTTTGTCACATAGGAGTCTCGGTCAATATTTGCTGAGTAAGTAAATGAATGACTAAAGAGAAAAAAGAGGGGAGGATTTGGGAGATGATGAGCTCGATTTGGGATATCAGTGAAGAAGGACAATGGCAGCAGAAGTAACACATCTTTAGTAGTGCTTGTAGGCAGCTCAAGCTGAGGTCTCAAAAGCCGTGGTTAGAAGGGTGAGCCCAGTGCTTCCCAAGGCATTGGTGTCCAGCCTTGTTTTTAAATGCAGTCATGGGGTTCCAGGGCAAGGGGGCTCTCCTTAGTGACCTTGGAGCATCTAGGCTGTGACAAAAATCAACATTTGCCCATTTTCCACTCCCCCTTCCTCATTCTCAAGTAGTTTGGCTTCCTAGTAATTTGTCGGCATGATTCCATTTGATCTCAATCTGACCTTCATTTTTTTCTTGCCATGCCCACCTCCCCTACTGCTACACATCCCAGAATCCTTGGGCTGTTTCCAGAAGTCTATTAAGGAGGGAGATGTGGCTGGTTCCTCCACTTTCTTCCCTTCTCCTGGGAACCAAGAAGCAACATCGAACTTCTCTGCACCCATTCCCCTCACCAGCCTAGGGGTAGGCGGACAGCAAGTGACCCCAGTGACCTGGCACATTGGGCAGCTCTCCTAGAGAATTATGTGTAAAGCACCACACTTCACTCAATACCCCACAGGTTTTTTTTCTGCCTTCCAATAATGCCTCTGGGCAGGAATGGTGCCCACCAATATCAACCTCCATCCACCGATGGGGGACTCCGAGGCCCCCATCTACTCCTCACGGCTATGGAAGAAGAGACTTGTTTGGAAAGGGTACTGATGCCACAAAATAGAGTGTTCCTCAGGGAGACAGTCCTGCGATGGATGCCCCCACTCAGAGGAACCCGCTCAGTTCCGTTCTCAGGGTTATGGGGATACTGTTACTCATTGCTCAGAGACAACAGCATCCTGTGTTTTCAAGTACCAAATCATATCCCCAGAGAAAAACACCTGACTTCCTTCCTCCATCTTCCATCCCAAGTCCGTCTAAGAATCTCACTCTTGAGTGACTAAACCCATTTCTTCCTCCCTTTGGGGGAAAACAGAGGGAGTCTTTTTACTGTATGGGGTTAGTTTGAGCGGGGAACATTTGATGGCATATGACCCATCTTTTCGAGTTGCTGTTTAAGTGAATTTCTCCTCTAACAGTTCCAAGGCTGGAAGCTTCAAGACTGGCAGAAGGGATGGTCCGGGCTTTGGTTTCTTGGGAACCCCTCTACCATTGATTTGAGGAGGGGGTCATTCCATGGAAAGGCCACAACCTGCTGTCCCCAACGATTTGCATCCACAAAGACTTCATTATGCAGCCTGCCCTGGAAATTAGACATTGGTCAAATGGTGTGTCTCTCAGAATAGGATTCATGAATTCAGAATCAATTTGAGGAGGTTTTAGAAAGCAGTGAAAGCCTTGGACATTAATCTTCTTCTGTCAAGGCTGTGACAAATGGGATGGAGGTTCAGGTACAAATGGAAGAAAAGAGTGGGAAGGCAGAAATAGAAGGTCTTTCTGTCCATGATATAGGCGTCCTAGTCATTGTTGTGCACCTTCTGTGTGTCAGGCTAAAGGTAGATAAGACATTATTGTTCCACGCCTACAGGGAGCTCACATTCTCTCTCCTTTCTTCCTTAGTAATAGATTTTGTGTGTGTGTGTGCGCGTGCATGCGCATACTTTTTTGTGTATGAGGGGAAGCATTGACTAGCCTAATTTCCCAACATCCTTTGCAGCTAAGCCTGTCCCTGTAACTAAGTTCTGTGCAAGGAGATTTTAGTAGAAGTGTGGTATGGAGCTTCTGAGAAGGCTGCTTAAACTCAGCTGGGAGTGGGCACTTTTGTACTTCACCTACTTCCTTCTGCTTCCAAACTGGAATGTGGTTGTAATGACTGGCTTTCCAGCAGCCATTTTGGATCATGAAGTGATCTTGAGCATGAGAGAAGAAAGACAAAAGGAAGTAGGATCGCTGATGATCTTTGGAGCCACCCTACCAGCCATGGATTGGTCTTCTTTAATCTGTAGGAAAAATAAACTTTCATCTTTTTTAAGCCACTATTTTTCACATTTCTTTACCCAGCCAAAAATGTTCTTACCCAATATAGTGAGAGGTAGCTATAAATTAAATTTAAGTACTCAATAAAAGCAATTGCAAAGTACTAAAAGAGTTGATAGGAGTGACCCAGGAAAGTCAGGGAAAACTTCACAGTGGAGGGAACATTTGAGCTGGGTCTTGAAGGTTGAGTAGGAGTCCACCAAACTGAAAGGTGAGAGAGGAAAGGGCATTGCAGACAGAGGAGGACATGAAAGGATGTGTATTGTTTAAGAAGAGGAAAGTATTTTGGTGAGGCTGGAGTGCCTGGTATAAGGCGTGAAGTGGCAAGAGCTGAGCCTATTACAGGCAGCCTGGGACAAGATCAGATGTAATATCTTAGAGGCAATGGGGAGTCATTGAAGGATGTTAAGCTGGGGGGCACTACATCAGATTTTTAATTTAGAAAGTTCCCTTTGGTTCAACATGGAGAAGAATCTGTGGGCAAGTGAGAGCATGACAAGAAGCAAGAGACTATTTAGGAGACTGTTGCTGTCCTTGAGGTGAGAGGAGATGAGAATCTGGACCAGTGATGCCCAACTCAGGTGCCTACGGGGGTCAGGTACCAAAAATGAGTGACGTGGTCCGGTGTAAGAAAATCAAGTTTCTATTTTGGCCTTTCAGTTTTTACTTTTTCTAGAGACTTGGGTAAAGCATAGAGATTGAGTATGACTTTAGGGCCAGATTGCCTGGGTTCAAATTCTGGCTCTGTCACTTACTAGGTATGTGACTTTGGGCAAATGATTTAACCTCTCTGTGCCCCAATTTTCTCAACTGTAAAATAGGCAAGAAAAAGGTTGTTGTGAGGATTAAATGTATAAATATATATAGTATACACATATAGTATAAGCTAGAATAGTGCCCAATACATAAAAGTCCTCCTAAGTGTTAACTATTGTATTATCATCATCATCCTTCTAAGGAAAACAACAGAGCAAACGAGATGATAAATGGCCACACACTTGGCCAATTGGGAGCAATGAAATGACTGAGGGTAATAGGGAGTGGTGGGGATTGTGGAAAACTAGAGAGCATATGGCCCTCTAAGAGAGACAGCTCCAGTTGAATGTTGCCATGCAGGGTTGCAGGCTCACTGTTGCCACAAAGAGTGATTTTTTTCTTTTAAATAGGAATTTTTGTGTAAAAACCTCTCAATCCTAAGAAGTCACTCCTACTTTTTCATTTCTTCTCTTAACAAAGCCTTGTGTGCTAAAGAAAACATAAGTGGCAGAAACTGGCCTATGTGCCCCAGTTTTCTATCTCTGAACTAAGACGAAAGCAATAGGAATGAAGAGGGTGGGGTTGAAAAGAGCTTTAGGAAATAGTACGGATTGGAGTAGGCAACCGGTTCGATGGGGAGGAAGGTGGCCATTGGGGAAGGGTCTGCAGTGTTTCTGGTGCCTGGAGAAGTGGCACCATTCACCCCTCCCCTCACTGCACAGTCTCCTTCCTACCCTGCTCTCTCCTCCCTCCAGCATTCAGGCTGCCACCGGGAGGACCTTATGCAGGTTCTGGGACTGCGTTCTTGAAGCTGAGGATGCTTCTCTGCTCTTGTTATCTAGGAGCGAGGCTTTTAGAGTTAAAAGACACACAGCATGGATATAACGTTAATAACCACACAGACGCTTTTGAAAAGAAAAGCAAGTCATGTTACTCCTGGACTGAAAACCTTCCGGAGAATTCCTGTTGCGCTTGGAATAATTCTGAGGTCCTTACGTTGCCCTTCAAAGGCCGTGAATGCTCTGACCCCCGCTTCCTCCGTGGCTTCATCTCTTCAGGTGTCAGCTCCAAAGTCAGAGCTGAGAGAGGCTTTCCTTGACTGCTCTGGCTAAACTAGTCTTTCTCTAGCCCAACATCTCGTTTTATTATCTTCTAATCATGTATTATCTGCAATTGCCCTGCTTTTTATGGTTTTCTCATTTATTGTGTGCTTCCTCCTTCTGAAATATAAGTGTGGGGAGGGCAGGTACCATAACTCTCAGTTCCAGGCGCACAGTAGCTACTCAATAAATACGTGTTAAAATCAAAGAAGGTCCAAGAAGTCCATGAGTCACACGTCTGCTGACAGTTTCTCTTAGTTCCTCTTCATCTCGGGTAATAATTCTGTCCAGCAAATAGCCTGTCAGGGCTTGGAGACTTTCTTCATCCTTGACAAGGAGGATGGTGGGAATTTTTCTCATTGGCAGTCATTACTCTGAGTCCTGACCACCTACAGGACTTTTGTACTTCTGCTATTTCTAGTTTTGATGATCAGGGCTCCTGCCAGGCTTTCTGGTCTACCGTGACCTCTTGTTTAACCTCTTTGAATCTACACTACACCCAATCCTTGTCAGCTCAGCCCAGCCCATTCTTGGTTGCCATGGGCATTCTAGATGGTGTAAAATAACACTTGGCTGGGCAGGCAGGCCTCAGCGTGGACGTCACTGAGGGGACACAGCAGATGGGGACAGGGACACGGCAGGAAGGTGTCCCACGCACCAGAGTCAATAACTTCCCAGTGGGCCAGCCTCTTTCATGCCCCTTTTTCTTTCTTCCTTTTACCGTCTCCATCTTTCTGTATAAATCCTTTCTTTTCCTCTCTCCTTTTACTACACAAGCTCAAACTAGGTAGTTCTAAGAATGAATATTTTACACGACTTATGGGATCCATCCACAATTCTATCTGGTGGAGGCCCACAGGTTCCCCCTAAAAAAGTATGAAAACTGTGTATATGTGTATGTTTGAATTTTTTTTTTTTTTTCTGGAGAGAGGGCCCATAGCTTTCAACAGATTTTCTAAAGAACATTTGTCCCCCAAATTATGGACCACTGAAAAAGTGGGGTCACAGAGTGATACAACTTCTGTATATAAAACATTCAGAGAAGGCCAATTCCTAGAGACAGAAAGCAGATTTGTGGTTGCCTGGGGCTGGAGGTGGGAGAGGAGAAGCCTTGCCCATAGATGAGGGGTTTTCTCTTGGGATGATGGAAACTTTCTAAGATTAGATTGTGGCGATATCTACGCAACTATGTAAATTTACTAAAAATCGTTGAATAGTACACTTAAAAATGAGTGAATTTTATGGTATGCAAATTATCTCACTAAATCTGTTAAAAAGGTAGACATCAAATTTCAAAAACATAGTATAAAAAAATGTAAAATATCTTATGAATCATTTTTTATATTGATTATGTGTTAAAATGACAATATTTTCTATAAATTGGGCTAAACAAAATATATTGTTAGAATTTTAAAGAGAGCAATTGATGACCTCTGGGGGGGTCTCCCAAGGGGAAATGGCTTGGGGTAACCCATGATATGGAGTCTATTTCTGATCTCCCCTGGGGGAAAGCAAACGGATCCCAGGAAATTGAACAGGGCTAGGGGACCCCTGTGTCTCCTTTAATTGAGTGGGGGCAGAGGGGGAGCAGGAGGGGTTCTTGATGTCTAGCTTCAAGGCAGACTGATCAGGTCGCAGGTAGGACTTACTGATATGGAGAGGTTCTTCCTCCTGCTTGGTTGAAGATGATTCATTGTCCTCAACGTCCTTGCTGCACGTGGCCTGGGTGGTCACACTCGGGGGCTCATCTGAGCCGGGGTTCACGGAGACCATGCTGCTCTGGGGGGACGACCCCCCGCTGGTCCGAGACAGACTGAGTGTGGAGCCTCGCCGGCTCGGTTTGCGGGCAGTGGGACGTAGTCCGGGAATTTTGAATTTCTTGGTCTGAAGGAAAGAAAGAGGACAGGGATTTCAGAAAGAAGGAAGAAAAGAAAGGAAGGAGAGAAGGAGAAAGGAGGGTGGAAAGAAAGGAAGGAAGGAGGGAGGAAGGGAGAGAGAGAAGGAAGGAAGGAAGGAAGGAAAGCAGGAAAGAAAAAAGTGAAAACCTGGCTCTGAATGTGAATTCCTTTGGCTCTTTCCAACGTCATGAGACATCCTGGGTCTAGAGTGTCCTTCTGTCACAAATTGAGGTAAGTTAAAAATGCGTATTATTTGGAGCAAATGTGATGGGACTTACTCTCTTCAGCGAGCGCCATGGTTGCCCAAGCAGTCACCCCAGGAAGCCAAACACACATTCCAATGACGTTGCCATGGACCAGGACTGTTTTTGACTTTTCTTTTGTAATAACCATCAGAGTTGATTTTTAAACTGTGGGAGGCTGGGTCTCATTTCTTTAGCTATATCTTGGTTTTGACCTCAAATGGCACGTATCAACTTCTTGTTCACCCATTTGACTCCTAGGCCTCAAAGAGTGAAGATTTGTGTCACTGGAGGTTTTCTGAAGAACACAAGATGGAGGAAATTCTAGGCCTGACATTTAGGAGGTGGAATGGGGGGAAGCAGGTTTGTCTGATGGGGTGGCACTCCTAGGGCGGAAGGAGCCACGGTTGTGGTGGGTGGGAAGGTCTGGATGACAAGCCCTAGGAGGTAACTAAAGGGTAGGTAGGGGAAGTTCTGTGAGGGGAATGTGAATTTTGGGAAGGAAAGGAGTCAGGCATGTGTGTGTGAACCTTCTTGCATGATTGGAGTCACTTCAGAATGTGCTGTGCAAGGTCATGTCCTCACTTAACTCATCATCCGAGTCTTAGAGAGGCTTCCTAACTTGCCCAAGATCGCACATCTAGCAAGTGGCAGAGCCAGGACTTGAATCCAGGTCAGGCTAACCCCAAGGCTAATTATTATGCCTTGCCGAATCATGCTTTAAGCAGGGGCCAGCCAGTGGTGTATTGGTTATGTTCGTGTGCCCCACTTCAGTGACCCAGGGTTCGCAGGTTCAGATCCTGGGCACGGACCTGGTGCTGCTCATCAACTCATGCTGTGGTGGCATCCCACAATAAAATAGAGGAAGATCAGTGCAGATGCTAGCTCAGTGACAATCTTCCTCACACACACACACACAATACTTTAAGCCGTGCCTTTTTGAGTGGCATTGAAAATGCGCTTGATCTCATGCTGATGGTTCTTTATGACCTCCAAAATACTGGATTTTTTACAGTGGGGAAGAATAGGCCCTCAGATGCTCCAGAAAAAGAGCTCAATATGGGCCTGGGCTATAGTTTATGCACAATTAATAGAAATAATTTTATTTGAGAACACTTAAAATGAAAGCTCTTGCAGGGCAGACCAAGGTCTTCCTTTGATGGAACTCGTAGTGTTTGATACCCTGGGGAAGAAGATAAGGAGAAGAGGCAGCACTGACGATCACCCAACATTTAATAAATAGCTGAGTGGAGAGAATTCTCTCTAGCAGGATTCATCCCAAGGAATCCACTGGGTGTGATCAGAAGTAATTTCTTGATTGGCTACCACCGGGGGTCCTAAGTGTGGGTGGAACTTCCCTGCCCTGGAAGAGGGGAGGGATTTCTTGGCTGCAGAGGGGAAGAAGAAGGTGGGGGAAGGGGGAAGACCAGAGACGGGGAAGGCTGTGGGGCTTAAGATGTGGTCTCTCCCTGTGGCAGCCCCCTCCCCAACAAAATCTTCATTGAAATTCTACCTAAACGATGGAATGCTTCAGGATGTGACAGACTAGGGAAGTGGAGTTTGAACTGGGTTTGCCCAGATCTCCAAGGGGTCATACAGGTTACAAAATGACTGTGACAAAGGAAAAGCAAATACCAAAAGTTGGCATGTTCTCTCCCTTGATAAATTAAGAGCTTGATGCAGTGACCCCTTTGTCCTGACATTGCAGCTGGTCAAGAGCTTTCACAGGAAGCCCGCCTACTCCCTGCCACCCTGGAGAGAGAGGATGTCAGAGCTCAGGGATAATATATGTGGAAGTTGCCTCTTCTTGTTTCATCTCGCACAACATGAATTCCTGACTCTGGAAACCAGCTCTTCAGATCAGTGTCCCTTTTGGAGGCTGGACAGATTGCGTGAGGCGGGGCAGCCTGGAGTCTTGTAACGAGCATGGACTGGGAGCCAGGGGACCTCAGGGGAGCCTTGAGCAAGTCACTGCCCTGCCTCAGTTTCCTCATCTATAAAACAAAGAGGATGGACTGGAGTGACCTCTGGAGAATTGTCCACATCCAGAGTTCTGTGTGCGTCCTCCTCGTGCTAGGATTTCAACTTGTGCTCCTAAAGTTGCCATTAATTAAAATTCAATTAATAACCTCAGCCAGGAAATCCAAAGTGAAGAGCTGACACTTCTGATTAATTGAGAGTGGCAGAAAAATAAAACGTGGGGGGAGGATGTGACAGGCAGTTTCAGCATCTTGCTTCCCCTTTATTGAACTGACTCTCTGAATTGACTTAAATCCCCAAATGCTTCTTCCCTATTTTTTATATTTCACGCAGGGGCGGTGTTAACCAGCTGCCGTGTTCCAGCTCAGAGGGACTGCTTCTCGGCAACAAAGGAAAAGATTTCTCTGAATGATTCCTTATACTTTTTTCAGAAGCAAGTGTTTCAAACTGGTGGCCCAGGGGGAGGGAGACATGTTTAGCTGCCCAGAACTTTACAAATTGGGGAGATTTTTATATAAAAACCTAGGTTATTGGTCTCTCTTGAAAATGATAAGCCCCAGTCTCCCATCCCATGGGGCAAAGTGAACTGGAGCTGAGCAGGGTTTCCCCCCTTTAGCTGTGTGGGGGTACTCCTATCTGCCACAGACCTCACCACTCCCTATTGCATTGCACCCAGGCTGATTTGTTCATTTACACAGCTTGCCTGGCTCTTACGATCTGCATTGGCACTGACAAACTCAACACATACAGAAAAATATCAGTGGCTATGGGAGTTGATCACAGTCTCTCTTTCAAAGTCCTCATTTTACAGGTGGAGAAACTGAGGTCAGGAGTGAGGAAAGGACTTGCTCAACCCCACACAGTGAATGGTGTCACAGTGACTGAGCCAGGTCTCCTGACTCCTAATTTAGTGCTCCCCCACCGTCAGAGTGGACCGTGCTGCAGCTCAGAGTTTCACCCCCAAACTTCCCTGGGGAATTAGATTTTGTGGTGATTCACTGTCTCCTCCAGTTTTAGGTGGGACTGTTCCTGAAGGACATCTTTTCAAGGTTCATGGCTCCCCCTGCTTTCCTCTGTGCATAGCTTGAGATGGACGCCCACGACATCTCCATAGCAACTCTGTGTGATAAAAACAAAGGCTCTACTTCTCAAATCCGGGAGCACTCTGATGAAGGAGCAAGAAAATGTGAAACTCTTCATGAGCAGCAATTATAAGCATGATACCATGGAGAACATGCGTTTGAAGAGCCGAGTATTTAATAAGCAGACCCAGGATTAACTCTTGGCTCTGCTATTATCCAGCTGTGTGACCTCACACAGATCACTTAGCCTCTCTGAGCTCAAACTTCCTGCTCTCCCACCTAAAGATGAGACTGGTGTCCCATGGGGTTATTAAGAGGATAGAACAGGCTGATACACCCAAGGAGCTTCCTTAGCACAGAACCTGGCCCATTGCAATTATGCTAAAAAGTGGCTTCCAAAATTTATATGACCACAATCATGCTCAGCATTTTAACATTTTCAAAATGAGTTTGCATATTGTTTCCTGGGGTTCTTTCCTAATGGTGTGAGGTAGGCAGCAACCAGCATTACGTCCATTTTGTGGGTAAGGGCGCAGCTTCAGCAACCACTCTAGTCGTGTGCTCTCTCAATTACCTTTAGCTATTTAAGTGTCATCTCCTGCCATTATTACTGTTATGGTTCTTGTTTGTTGAGTGGATGAATTTGGGAGATTTGGGGTTTGGAGTGAAAAGAATAGACCTCTTGATGTTCTCTTAATAATAAACACAGGTCCTAGTTTGTGGGAAACCCTGTCTGTCGAACCACTCACTTCTTATTTTCTAACTGGGTTAAAAAGAAAAAAGAGAAAGAGAGAGAATGACTATTATTGATTAACGACAGAGTGAGGCGAGCCCATTTCCTTCTGGTGACATCTTGTTAAGCGGCTCCTCAGCTGCTGCTTCCCTTCTCCGTGAAGTGGTGTCCAGCCAAACGTCATTTCTCCTATAATCCCCAGATAATCATTTTAATTAAAATTCACAAAAACAGCATGTGGTTCTGACTTCCTTTCACTCAGAAAACCAACTAGGAAAAAAAAAAGTCTTATCAGAGAAAAGACTGGCAAAAAACGCCTGCGACACAAGTTTGAGGCTGGTAGCCAAGGGGTAGAAACGTGCGCTGATGGTTACCTTTGGTGCTGTGACAAAGTGCTCCCACCTCTGTCCCATGGACTTGTCCTTAGTGATTTTCCTAATCGTGTTCTTGCTTCCACCTGGGTCCCTGAGTGAGAAACAGCTTAATGAGTTTTCCATCTCCAGAGCCTTGGTTTATTACAAGTTCTTTTAAGAAATGCAATAAATAGAGGGCGGATGGCAGCTGGTATCTCATGCTTTTCTTCCCCCACCCTGTACTCTGTGAAGCGGTGGGAGGGACAGGGCTCCAGGGCAGGGTCTTGTGAGTGAAAATCGAGCTGCGGAGAGACCACCACTTCCTGGGTCGGCGCTGAGGGAGGTGGACTATATTTGCATGCATTCTGCATCTATTTGCATCTTGGACTCAGGTCCTCTCACAGACTCCCTGGCGGGTCTGTGGTTATTCCCGAGGGTGAATTGAAAAGCGTGTTCATTTCTGACTCTCAGTCTGCTCTGGTGCCTAAGGGTCCCACCATCAGGGGCACTTCTGAGGAACACAGAAAGAATATTGCTGGGTGATGTTGGAGGGAGCTTGTGGGGTGAGTTGCACAGTGAAAAATCATTGGTTTGGAGTTTATTGAGCAAAAGTCCATCCGATGTGCAAGATGTTTCTGTGCATTCTCACGGAATCATCTCAACAAAAGCTTGTGATATAATTATTATCATCCCATTTTACAGATGAGAAAACAAACTCAGAAGGCTTAAGTCACCTACCCAGATGCATATTTACAGCGAATCTAAGGACCCTCACTTGCATGGGTCCCTCCAGGGCCCTCTACCTAATTTTGTACTGTAATTTTGTATTCTTTTTCTTAAAGCACCTCCTCCCCCCAATTAAACTTCAGGTCCCACAAAACCCAGATCCTCCCCTCGAGAGTTGGGAACTGTCTGGGTATGAGAATGAAGCCCTGGTAGGCTCTGTTGGTGACATGCCCATAATCCCTTATCTGAAACTTGTGGGACCAGATGTGTTGCCAAACTCAGGATTTTGGCATTTTGGAAAGGCCATACGCTGCGTATACCATAGATTAACATAACCCCTCCACTGGGGTCTGGGGCAGCATCCTGTAATCAGACACATTAATATTTCTGCAACAGTGTGTATGAATATTTATACTAGGTGGGATAAATAAAGATTATAAATAGCTTCAAGTCAAGTTTTGCCACCAAATCGGTTTGGTTCATGTCATATTTTGCTGCCAAAAGAGTTATGGAAAAACTGGGTTTTCAGAGCCTTTTAGATTCTGGGCTTGTGGCTATGGGGTGGTGGGTCCCTGTTGATAAGGCAGGAAGACTCGTTGTGTGCTCTGTCAACTACCCCTACCTATCTATCTGTCGATCGATTGATTGATTGATCTATTGATCTCTCTTTCCATCGTCCATCCATCCATCTCTCTCTTTATCCCCTTTTTCTCTGCAGAAAGGATTTTAGATGGCTAGGATCCAACATTTGGCTGGCTGTCACCTAGCATAGAGCAGGGCCTTGAGGGTAAAAGATGGAGACCAGTGAGGGTAAAAGATGGAGACCAGTTTGATGCGGGAGCCATTGACAGTGTTCTAGACTTATCAGGGGCTGCTGAGTGCCGGTGGCGGGAATCAGTGCTCAGATTTAGGAGGCAAAAGGTGATCAAGATAAACTACGTGAGACTGGCTTCTTACGTCATGGGCGTCTGAATGACAGAATCAAAGGCTTTCACCAGCCCAGGTCGGGGGCAGGGTGTGTGCGCTCTTCACTGGCAGGACCTTGCCGAACATCGATCATCTCCCGGCTCCCAGCTGCATCATGAGAAATCCACCCAGCCGCTAAGGTGGAGGAAGTGGGGCTGGGGAGGGCGGGGTGAGAATGTGCCTCCAAGCTTTTTGTAAGACTTTATGTTTGATTACACCATAAAAAGCCCTCCGAATAATTAACAGTTAAGCTCATTTAACGTTGGTTCTGCCTGTCTCTCCCTGGAGTAATCAAATTAGGGAATATTTAAAATCCAGCCAGAGGAAGGAGCAGCCACACTTCAGTCCTATAAACAATATTTAAACTGGCGGTGCTTTTGAAGTCTGATTTAAGGCTCACCAGCTGGAAGCCTTAGCATTTCACTTTGGAGCGTTTCTTTCAAGACCACAGGGCTTTTTAGCTTGTCTCCTCTGCTAACGCAGCCCGCGCTGTGCCTCCAGCCTTCTTCTTGAAGTTCAAGCAGCCCCCCCTTCCCCTTTTGAAATTAAATCTGGTCCCAGCCTGGCTTTCAAAGTCTTAAATATTCAGGCCCGATCGGGAAGATGGAGGTTTTCTGCCAACATCGACTTCCAAGACGACCTGAAATCTATTGCGACTTTCAGGCAGCAGGCTAAATGGGCTAAAACCGCAGCGGGCTTCCCAGGGACCCTAAAAAGCCCTGCGCCCTTGCTCTGGTGAAGCCACTGATAAAGAAAGGGCCCGGTTAGACAGAATCAGTCTCTCTGATGTTTCATTTTCAGTGGCGAATAAACCAAAAAGGAAGATCAATAGGGGGAGGAAAAGAAACAAACAACCTGGGCTTCGTGGTCCACAGTGGGCTGACGACACACCTCGTCCGAGAAAAGCATGGCAAGTTGGCGCTCCTTCCCCCGGCCTGGCGGGGTAGTCGTTAGTGCTGTTCACCAGAGTCCCTGGTCCTCCCGGCTCCTTGAAGTCAGGTGTAGCAGCACTGTGGCTTCCTTTGTTCGAAAATACATGAGCAAAAGTGACAATGGCACGCCGGGGGACACTTTACAACCCGGTCCTCAAGTCAGGTTCCCTTTTCTGCTGTGTTGATGGTGGAAGCTTGTGTTGAGATGGGGCGCCTCTCAGTCAGGGTCCCCGAGTGACTATAGTGAGCAGAGCCCCATGTTGATGACAGAGAGGGTGAGCAAGAAATGAACCTGTGTTGCATTAAGACGTTGAGGTTTGGGGGTTGTTCCTTCCGGCAGCTTAATTTAGCTTACCTAATGGATGTCCCTGACACTGACTGACTGTGTGACCTCCGGCAAGTCTCTCTGAGCATCCGAACCAGGAAAGTGGAGTATGTTGGTAGTTAACTGTGGGTCTAAGAATCAGGCGGACCGGCTGAGTCCTCCGCCTGCCCCGCCACTTCCTAAATGTGAGAGTCTGTGTAAGTCGTTTAGCCTCTCTGAGCCTCGGTGTCCTCATCTGTAAACTGGGGGAATGATAGGAGCTATGTCAGAGGATCGCTGTGAAGATGAAATGAAGTGGGGCTTGCTAAGGGCTTGGCGGGTGCCTTGTATGCCTTTTTCAACAGAGCTCCTCATGTGGCTTGCAGGAGGGGCTGGCTCATGGTGGGAGATGAGGCTCTAGGGCAGATAGGTGGGCCCAAAGCTATAATTTTTGGACCATAATTTCCTCCTCCTGAAGCCTTCTGGGGGATGCTATTTCCTAGAAATCAAGGGAAGAGGGTGTTGAGCGCTGTCTCATCTCTTTTAATCGTACCTGCCAAGCATATTTTGCTCCTAGCGGTCACTTGAAGACGTCTACCCACAGTGGTGACCAGAGCAATTTTTGCAGATACTTCACTCTTTTCCTGAACCCTCATTTGGGATAAAACACTTGCTTCTCAGCTGTTTTTACAGTCTGTAAGCTGGCTTAGGACGTGTCCAGGCGTCCACAATCAAGATGAAGAACAGAGGTAACTGGTGATTTTGCACCAGGGGGCGGATAGAGATCAAAGCTCTCAGGATCTCCCGGGGTCGCCCCGTCCTGCCTCCTGAGTGACAGGTGCTCCTGCCGCGTTCTCCCACTCCTGTAGAGATGTCCATTTGAGTGCAGGAGTGGAGAAATGAGGCAATTAAATCAGTGCAGAGAGGAGAGCAGGCGAAATCAGAGACTTCACTCAAATGTCGCCTTCTGAGTGAGTCTTTCCCGGATGACCCAATTTAAAAGCCACTCCCTACTCTGTCACTACCACATCATCCTATCAATGTCTTCATGACGCTTAGTGCTATCTCAAAGTATCTTGATTATCACATGTGTATTATCTGTTGCTCCCGCCATGTCCCCAGGACAGAAGCTCCAGAGAGCAGGGATTTCGTCTGTTTTCTTCACCACCATATCCCCTGTAATGCCTGAAAAAAGCAGGCTTGAGAAAAATGAGACTTTCCGGGGCAGGGGGGAGCACATGACAAGGGGAAAACAACTTAAATATGATAACTGCTATTACGTGCATTATTCAGAACGATGCTGCATTTTTTTTTCACAAGAGTGACAATCTGGCAAAGACCTAAAGGTCTTTGGGGGAATTGGTTAAATATGTTGATAAACTCCACAGTCATCAAAAGAGGTTCTGACATGGAGAGGTGCTCTCCATAAATCAAGTTAAATAACAAAAATTTAGTTGCAAAGCAATAAACATAGAATGGCCTTTTTGTTATTTTTTAAAAAGAAAATTATGTATTTATATATCATTATCTTGGCAAGTTGGGGTCCCTTCTGTATCCTGGCGTCCCCTGGCAAATATTACTTTGTTGAATTAGTCTTCTTTTTGACACCAGATTGTTCCCTAAATTAATTGAAGACTTTTGGGCTTTAGCTTGAAACAGAGGAGACGATCGTTTCGTCATTAAGGGCACGTGCTTTTCCAGCTGGGCTGCCCGGGTCCAAATCCTGACTTAGCTTTTACTGGCTGTGCCACTTTGAGCAATTCTCTGTGCCTCAGTTTCCTCATCTGTAAGTCAGAATGAGGCTCAAAGGAGGTAACATACCCAGAGCAGTGCTTGCCATAGAAAGCACTGGAATACCAGCTATTTTCACTACGACATGGTAGTTGGGTTTCGGTGCCCGTGTCCTATTTGAAATGTCAAAGCGTGGTTGCCTTTTAGCCACGTATGTTTTTCTAAGTGAGGAGTGGGTTCTCTGTGCTTGGGCAGCTCAGCCCTTGAGTGTCTGGACTCTCTTAATGAAAGTCAAGATTTCACCTGCCTGGACTCCCCCGTTAAGAGTGGGTCCAATGGTGTCTCCCTGGGACAGCCTGAGGCAATAAGACGCAGATGCCTGTGCTGTTCCTGTGGCTCCAGAGGAGAGCGCATGACTGTGGAGACTCAAGGCTTTGGAAGAACTCCTCCCAC